GAATCTTTGTGAGGCGGTCAGGCTAACTGATCTGATGTTTAAAAAGGCAGCACAACAGTGATTTTCAAAGTCAATCCAAGTTTTTATTCAGGTTTTTTGTATTATTGTTTTTTTTTGTCATGAATGCATGCATTTGCACTGGGGAAGATATTTCCAATGAGTAGAAATAGGCATTGATTTGATGTGCTTGGTTTGTTTTTCCATGAGGTAATGAGTCCTGTAAGCTTAAAGAAAAATAATACCAATTAGGATATGTTTTCATCAAATTTATAGTGAAGGAAAATATTTAAATTTGATCTGTTACAGTACAGTTCATACAAATGAAAATGGCACAAAAAAATGTTAATTTTTGGATAATTTGTCCTTAGTCTTTTACTATGACTGTAACACCACTCTTCTGGGGCAAAGTCTCCTATTTATTTTCCTAGCCATTTTCAATTCAGCTAGCTGTAATTAACACAAGTATTTTCACATTGAAGTCTTGTAAAAGATACTATAAAATTTATTAATCCAGACATCAAATGAACATTGAAAACTGGCCATATAAACACGAAGGCCATATTTTACGTCAGCAGAAATGCAATGTGGATACAATTCACCAGAACACGATACCTGGCTATTATATAAGATGGTCATATTAATAATCTGTAAGGCTTCCACAGTATAAACATCTTACCATTTTCCAACAACAGGGAACCTCTAATCTACATGAATTTTAGTCTCCTTCCCAGCCTCTCCTTTTGTTGGGCTTCCTGTCCCTACTATCCCAAAAGAAGAGGGGGAGGCTGGAGACTACAAAATTCTGACCAATCTTTAAAAATTAATTAATTTTAAAAATTAATTTTAAAAAATTACCTAATGGCTTTTGTTTTCRGTTCCTTCAMTGACATCATCAACACTTGGCAAGTRCACCTTGAATCTGCTCGTCTGTCAGTCTGGGATAAAGTGATTTGATGGTAATGATGTCTTTCACTGCACAGATTGCAATTTTCATCTCMTCTGTTATTTCACATTTACAGCGTTTGATAAAAATCTTTGCCTGAAATAGCAAAGTTTAGGCAATGTCATTATCATCATATTATTGATACTGTTATCTCCTGAATTTGTATTTGATTTGGCTTGGTATATTTATTGAAAAATAACCTGGAATTAAGATGTGCCCATATCATGGCTATGATGGCAGGATTGTTRCATATTYAGAGGGTGTCTTTGGAACTTTTMTTTGTTGTTTATTATTTATTTATCTATTTTTTCACTGYATGTTGTTGGATAAGCTTTGCGTTCATTTGTTTAAGTGCACTATGGATCATATTGTTAGTATTCAAGCGTCATATTTAACCAGTGTCTGTTCTTTTATTCACCAATCATACTTAATTYATTGGTTATTGAAAGGTCATACTTACTGCTTCAACTGGTACATCCACTAATTCCGCCACCTCGTCCGCTTCCTTTCCTTGACAGTACWTAGTACAGGCTGTTTTTTCTTTGATTTTATCGTTTGCCTGACAGATGTTGCTGAAATTCTTGTTTTTTGCATTTTCGTCAATCATAGCTTGGAGTTTCTCGTCAGAGAAGGGCGCAAGCCCTATCTTTTCTTCACAAGATTCRTTGTCTTCGWAAAGCTCCTGAGCTACTTGGTTGATGTTTGAAAGTGAACCCTCTCCTGCCTTGCATTTTTCCAAAGTTACCCTTTTGA